TGGGCCCCAACAAAAAACATGAGTAAACTGTAGGGAGGAGGGGAAGGGAGAAGGATGTATTGTAGGAGGGAGAGAGCGAGAACCCTTCCCTGGCTCGCACATCTTCCGCCTCTTTGTTAGTTGTTCATCCGACCGCTAGGGGTCTCTTTAAATAGGGGGTCCGTGGATTAAATTACTTCCCCCGGACCTTCCACAATGATACCGTCTTTCAGGGGTCCAGAATTTGTTACCGCAAGTGTACGTGTGTTGTCCTTTACATTTTTTTTTTTTTTTTGTTATTTTACACATAAAGCTGATTGAGATTGCAAGTAAAAGCGAATTATTCCGATCTCAATACAGTAGGGAAAACATATACTGTAAATAATGTTTTGGGAGAATTTATTAGGTATTGCAGACACAGATATTTTTTATCAGTGTAAGTTTATACAAAAATATATTTAAAAACATTTTTTTTTTTTGTTATTTGTTTATTTAGAAATATTACATTCTGTCACATCAAGGACATTTATAATAGTGATCAGAGAAAGCACACTCACACTCTATTTACAATAAAAAAAAAAATAATACAGAAACTTAATAATAATAAATACAATAAAATAAAATAAAAATAAATACAAATGAAAATAAATACATAAAAAAAAAAAAATTAAATATGTTGTTTCAAAATGTTATAACTTACAGATTCCTCACATTCTGCAGATAAATATTGATCTAACAATATTCCAGCAAGGGTTTTAGTTCAAATATTTAATTCTTTTAGATCCTGGTTTTTAATTTAAGTCTCTCCCTTAAATTGTTTGCCTACAGGTCCTTTTATGAATATTCGGTAACAGCTTCTGAAATTCCCTTTTTGTTTAAAAAAAATATATAAATATTAATTTTAGGTTGATAATCCTACGGCAACACCTGGTTTGACTAAGATCCGGGGCTCTTTGGATACCCATTAGAGTTGAAAACCATTAATTTCCCATTTAGTGGACCATTTTAGTAAGACCGGAGCTCCCTAATTGCTCCACCCACTACCTGGTAGGAAGGGATGGGAGGGGAGGGAGGGGGGGTCAATGGCTGTTTTGATCTTAAATAGGCGACAGTCAGGGTTCAACACCCTTATCTCCAATCCTTTGTCAACCTCCATTAATTTTACACAATAAAAATAATGCTCAGTTGGAATCATTTATTTTATAATCTCGATGACATTACAAAATATTTTAGATTATTGGACCTTAAGCAATATCAATTTTAAATTCTTAAACAATACAACACAGCACAAGACAAAGAATTTTACTTCCAAATCTTTCAATACCTCTAAGGTGATGATAAGTGTACAGAATTCGGAACTGTATATCAGAATTGATTTCATCCAATAATTGAGATTTTTGGATATTTCAATATCTTTGAACCAGATAAAAAACCTCTGTTCTGATTTGTTTTCATTAAATCATTTACTTAACTTATAAAGATGACACGCAAATACTATTCGAGAAATGCCAAAAACAAATTCAACGACACATTAGCTGATTATCACATCTTAAATATATCTATATATATTAAATATAATATATATATATATATATATATTGAGATACATATATTCCGGTAAGTAGATGATCAATGGGTAAAAGAATTAAATTAAGTGAAAAAATTCATTTTTTATATATGACTGATTTCCTTAATGCAGGCTAATTTATTTGTTTTTATTGTTGCCTCTACCCTACAGGGTCATTAGCAACACTTCCTATTCATACCCTATTTTAGAATTTTCTAATTTTTAAAAATTGTAAGGTTTTTTCCACGGCGTTTTCATTGTCACTGAGGTTTTCTTTTGAATTCTGAGCCATATTCAAATTTTTCCTCATATTCTTAAATACTGGACAGTCTTGGATGATATGTTGGACTGTTCTTTGCATCTTACAGTTCTCGCAAGTCTGTGGGTCTAGTCCTCTTAGTAAATAGGCATTTGAAAATTCACAATGCCCGATTCTTAAGCGGCAGAGGACTTTCGCTTCTTTTCTGGATAGTGTGTTACTAGTTTTTCATTTGGAACAGTGGCTTTTTATTTCTTTTAATTTTGTTTCTTTTTGTTACCAAACGTTCTGCCACATTATCCGCAATTTTTTTTATATGTTTTATAAAATCTTCTATCGGGATTTCGTTAATTATAACTGTTGGATTTCTATCTAGCCTTCTCGCCATATTTGCTGCTTTGTCTGCCTGTTCCTTTCCGACAATTCCACAGTGTGAAGGAACCCACATGAATACTATTTCCTTTCCCTTTTCTGTTAGTTTCCAACAGGCTAAATTAATAACTTTTAAAAAAAGCTTATAAAAGAATGATATTTGAAATCTTCTTTTAAGAAAACTAACCTCTTTTGTTACAAATTAAAACATATTAACTTTGAACTTTATCGGATTCTCTGGAAAAGAGGATATTATCGTTCCATGCTTTCTGGTTTTATTTTTTGTTTTTCTATTATGTAAACATAATAAAGAAACCTCATAAGAATTTTTTTTTAAGCACATAAAAACTAACACATGGCTGAACTGACCAAGGAACCTGTTGACATCGAGTCTGCAAGTGTTCGTAACATACGAATGAATATGATTCTCGAATTGAACAAACTTCATGGATTTGACATACTCAAACTAGCACTGGTTCCATAATTAAACTTAGAAGCAGAATAAATATTGATGTATCAACAATTAATCGCTTGAAGTGCCAGTCAATTTTTTAAAGCGTATGTATTCGCCTAACCTCAGAATGAATATTAACAGGATAACTTATTCCGTTATTGAAACGACATCGGTCATTTTCTCATTAATATTCACTTTAGCTGATCAGGATATTATAAATTCAGTTATTAACCACTACTTTATGGCACGTTCTCAGAAATATTAACACTTGTTGAGTTAGTGGAATGAAAGATATCATACTTGGCCTTATTACCAATGCGAATCGGATATTAGGTACCACAATACCATATTGGAAATATGTAGTTATTAAAATATATTATATAATTAAACTGAAGATCCTAGAGATAAAGTGTATTTTGTGAAAAAATAAACGAAGTGTAGTCTCGATCAGGAAATTAGTTAAGCTACTTAACAGTTCAGAGATATACTTTTCTTTACATCCAGAGCTGATTAATCGCTAAATCTCCAAGCAATTGTTAACTTAGCTTTGGAGGTAAAAAGATACCAAAAAAAAAAGCTACAATTGAGGAAACTCTATTCGAATAACAAACAAATAAAAATGCATTGTCTTCTGAATATTGATTAAACTTTAAATAAAAACTTATTAGCTTTATTTTTCTCATTATTCAATAAAAAACATTTATTTTTTTTATTATAAAGTTATACTCACCGCTTGAAAATATTACTAGTTTTGAGATACAGTGTTCACATTTCAATTTATTTTAATATATTGGTGTTCTTCGATATTCAAATTCGTCATTGAACCAACGGAGAGTTATTAGCATACATTTTGAAAATACTATCTATATGAAGAACGCACGTGAATATTTTCATTAAAGATAATATAATAATGGACAATCTGAGTTATAAGAGTTACAATTAACAATACGCCTAATATTTAAGAAATCCGATAACATAATGTGTTTGTTATTTATCACAACTAAGAATATACTAGTTTGTTGAAAAAATAATAAAAAGTACATGAAAATCCGTCTCAAATGTCAGAATGGCTTCAGAAATATTGGATGACTTATAAAATAGAAAGCACACCAGTGTAGAAAATCATTGAAACTAGGTTTTATATATATTGAAAATAGGTTTTATATTGACTCTCACTTGCTAAAAATATAATAAAAAGTGTGGTATGCACAGCCGTTCCTATAACTTCACTTGAACGTTTTGTCAAAAAATATACTTTTATAAAATTCAAACGAAAGGACTCCATTCAGCCTTTTTGATTGCAGAGATGCTATTATTGTAATAAAAAAGTCCTGTTACTTCCTTAATTTAATCGATCCATAATCGATACTTTTTTTTGTTTTGAACGAAACGACCTTGTAAGACCACGCGAATATCATTAATTTTTCCTTTCTCATTTTCGCTTTTTTCTTCTCCCAGTATCTTCTCATCATTTCCCACTGCTTTTGCTTCCTCTGTTTCGACCACGCTGTCCCTTACATTTTATATATATATATATATATATATATATATATATATATATATATATATATATATATATATATATATATATATATATATATATACATATAGAAAAAATAATAATAATAAAAAAAAAGAGAAAAAATATATATAAAAAAATAATTGCATACTATGCTCATACATATTGTTAATGCTATATAATTGTAAATTAGTTTTGGAAAGTTGTCTGTAGCGATTGATAAGTATGCTGTGTTTAAAGCAACCCAATGTAATTGGGCAGCACCCTTTTATGATAATGAAGTGATTCTCTCTCTATTCTTATGCACGTTATGTTTATTTTCATTACTTTTTTTTTTTTAAGATAGTTTTAATTCTATTTTATTAATTTATTATCATTATATTATCACTATTATTTATATTTTTCCTTCACTATGATATTTTATTTTGTTCTTTTATAGCTTTATATTATTTGAAATTAGCTTATTTTTTTTTTAATTTGTAAATATGGTGTGAATGTGCTCTCAGAACTCTATTATAAATGTCCTTTATTGAGACAAATTGTAATATTTTTTAATAAACAAATAATCAATCAATCTTATGCACGTTAATTATTATCATATGCCCGTAGAACCATTGTCTTCCGATTCTTATTTAGGTTTCTATGTATTTTATCTTCGTGTAGAGAATCGATAGTTTATTGCTTAAAAAGTGGAAAAACCATCAAATTGGAAGTAAGAAGTCCTTTTTTTCATACAGTTTCATAAAAGTATTCTCTTTTAAGGAACGTTCAAACGGAGTTGCAGGAACAGCTTAGTACACCGTTCTTAGTTTATGTCGCTCATACTCTTTGTTCCGAGAGTCCTCAAACATTACATACACTTAGTCCTTACCTCGAAAACTTCCCAGGTGGCCGAGAAGGGAAGGACCGCCAGCCCGACCATGAGGTCAGCGACGGCGAGGGAGACGATGAAGAGGTTGGTGACGGAGCGGAGCTTGGAGGATATGAAGACGGCGATGATGACGAGGCAGTTTCCTAAGACGACCATGACATCCATGGCGGCCAGGGACAGGAGGAAGGAGATCCTGGCAGGGTCCGCCCAGGGCACGGACTGGAGGAGGGCCGAGCAGGCGGACCTGTTCATACCCACCTCACCCGTCCCCATCTCACCCCATTGCGTCCATCTGAAACACAAAAAGTATTTATTTATTTTATAAATATATAAATTAATGAATAAATAACAGGGAACATGCCGGTATGTTATCTTCGAATTTGTTTTTATAATGCTTGGCGTAAATATATATATAGCTTTATTGAATATTTAATATTCAGGAATTAATAAATGAATATTCCTCCTCATAACACGTCGTCGCCACCGGGTCAAGTTCGAGTTATCAAGTACTAAGGCTCCTTAGGAAAAGGAAATTCACCTGCTTTGACGAGATATATTGCATCGATAGTGAAGGCTCTACTAGATACGCGGATATCGTCGCATTTCTCAGGACAGGAAGGACAGCGCTGATCTTGGATCAAACTGTCCGCTTTGAGAGCAATGACCTCGATCGTACGGTGAAGTGGAAAGGAAAAAGAAGAACACGAACGATAAATGTATCCCTTACCTAAAAGAAATATTACGTGAGGCCTTCGGAGAGAGAGAGTTCACCGTGAGAGGCCTCCGGTTTGGGTCTCACGGAACAATTCCAAAAAGAACAAGGAGCTTTCTCGAGGAACTAAGTGTCGACATAAAGGACGTAGCGAGGTCGGCTGAAAATATAGTCCTTGACTCCCTGGGAATCATTCACCACCACGTGCATGGCTAGCCCGAGAGTTTTAATTTATGTATTTATTTAATGGGAAATTGAAAAAATATAGATAAAGAGAACGAAGAGAGAGAAAGGGAAATTAAATGTTAAAAAAAAAAAAAATAATAATAATATATATATTGTATACTATGCTCATACATATTGTTAATCCTATATAATTATATATTATTTTAAAAAATGTTTGTAGTGATTAATAAGTATGCTGTGTTTTGAGAAACCCAATGTAATTGGGCAGCACCATTTTATGATAATAAAGTGATTCTCTCTCTCTCTCTCTCTCTCTCAGACCGTTGCATTATAAAGGAAGGAGATGGTCCAGGGTGGCGGTAATAAATATGCTAAATTGTGGTAAAACTATTTTATTAAAAGCCAACGATAAACTATTTTATCTCGACCCGACTTTGTAGGTCTTCTTCAGGAAGGAGAGTTCAGCCAGGAATTTCACTTAGAACTGAGTATATTTTTGTGTTGAGTGTTGGCTTGGTGGTATTGTGGGTCAGATAAAGAGAGCGATCGTTGAATAAGGTTGAGTTCTAAGTGAAACACCTAGCTGAAAACACCTCTCTGAAGAAGACCCGCAAAGTCGGATCGGAACGTTGGCTTTTAATAAAATAGTTTTGCCACTATTTAGCCTATTTATGATCACCACCCTGGGCCATCTCCTTCCTTTATATAGAACTTTAAGTAATATAACATTCTGTCACATGGACAACATTGAGGTAAGACTACATTAATATATATAGAAAATATACTTTATTCTGGGACGAGATCCCTTATGAATAACAATTATGAACAAAAAAAAAAAAAACATATCTGGCAAAAAAATACATTAAATCAACATTAAAGAATATATACAGTATCTTCAGTAAAAGTATATTAAAACAAATAAAAAGACCACCATATTGAAAAAAAAAACCTTATTTAGACAAAAGAAAACTACCTTCACTACCTACAACTACAACTACAACCTTCACCTCAGTCAAAATCTGTTTCACAATATTCATTTCATTGTATAACGTCATTTTGTGAGGTGAGAAGGAATTGCCAGAATTGATATTTGAATTAGGAAAGTAAGGGGCATGGCGGATATCAGATGGCAAGGAATTCCAGAAGGCAGTGGATCGGTCAATAAAGGAATATTCAAATGTCTCAGTTCTATGGGAAGAGATATAAAAGTCGGAAACACGAGATCTTGTTTTCTGGGAGTAGACCACGGGTTTGAACTGTTGGAGACTGTAGATGTAGGAAAGGTGTTAGGTGTTGATCGTTTGAAATAGACTATATACAAAGAAAATGTGAAATCAACAGAAACAAAATAAAAACTAAATAATAATCAAAAACTAAACACAATAAATATAAATAATGTAACTTAATGATAAGTAAGATAAATGTGCCAGTTAATCGACACTGTACCAGTAACATCCACTTTTCAATTCATGAATTTCCAAAATAAAGATATATTTACCAGTGTTACAAGTTTAGACACAAGGAGTAACTAAACGAAAATAATGTAATATATACATATATATGTATTGAAATAACGTTCACTGAGAACTTTATTTGTTGAATTTGATAGGAAATCCGAAACTTTGCTGATGACAGTAAAATACAGAGATTTATAAAATTTAAAGGATATTTGGTTCTCACAATAAACAAAATAAATAGGCCCATTTTTTAAAAAAGATCTGGAATAGCTTCCGACAAAGCAACTGAGGGAAGGAAAAATGGCCTACAAGAGATAGCCAGTGAGGAGATCCAAGACCAAAGCTAAGTCCTCCCAGTCGGGCTTCAAGTTAAGTCCTCAGATAACGGAACGCCCCTACCTCAAGAAACATTACCTCTTCTGTTCCCTTCAACAAATTCCACTTGAGCGGTCTCAATCGATAACAAAAGCGCCGACCTTTTGTTTCGATTTCAGCTTTGACCTATTCCAAGCCTGATAAGATAAATAGAAAGTTTGTAATCATTCGAACATTTTATTCTCATCCGTATTATGATTTGTATAAATTGTGTTTGATTTTTTTTTTCATTTAACATTTATTTGCATCTGTCAACTTCATGTTAAAAATCAGCAAATGTTCTGAAAATACAAGGAAAAATGTGACATGTCAGGAACGGAGAATGACAGTACTCCGCAGTACCTCTTTCCTGGCTTGATTCAATTACTTAAGCTGTTTAATAAGGGAGATCTCTGATCCAACGTCTTCTTAGTATCTTCCTCATATTCAAGGTTATGTCAGCTCTGGCCACGTCCCTTATTAATCTGTTAATATCTGCTTATAAATTGGTAAAAAATCGTTGGTAAAAAGTCGTTATACGTTGTTCAACTGTTGTAAGATGGAGATCAGTATTATAGAGATTTGTTAGTCGCTTACCAAGGTGTTTTTTTTATTAGCCGTAATAATTTTGATTGGAAAGTTTCAGGTTTTTTAATTTGTGTTTTTTTAGCGATACCGTATACCTGTGATGAGCATGTCCATGTAAGTTTCAGTAAGAATAGGTATGTATGTAGTACCTGTCTCAGTTTAAGATTTGAATATTTGAAAAAAGTGAGTATAGTAGTTTGAGTCATCTATTGAGGAGCGTATGGCAGGATTTTATGATTTGAGGACAGGATTAGAATTTCGAAGAAATTCTTCAAAGTGAAGATGAAATGTACTTTGATTTATCGCGGTTTGGTCGAATTTTAGAATTTTACCAGTATTGTTTTTTATTTAATTGGAAGCTATGTTGTAACGTTAGTGAGGCTTGTGTAAGGTTTTGATGTTTCGTGAGAATCGCTGTGTCGTCAGCGTACGTTTGCAGGCAATGCCTCACTGTTAGCAGGTATACCATAAGCATATAAAATATATAGTAGTGGATCCACTGCTGAACCATGGGGTACTCCAGCCAAGACTAGGCGAATAGAAGAAATTTCTGAGCTCTGCCAACTAAGCAAAATCTCTCATTCATTTAAAACGAATTAATTGAATAAATAAAATAAATAAATACAATTAATCACAAATATATAAGAAAATAAATTATTTCGTATCCTTGTACATCCCATAAAGTTAAGATAAATAAAAGAAGAAGAAAATTTTATTTTATTCTAGGACAGCTATTCCTGTATAAATAATGAAAATGAAAAATTTTTGTCTGGTATAAAATGACCGTTTAGAATTAATTAAATTGTTGCATTAAATTAAATAAGCTGTTGTCCAACTAAGTGGCAAACTAAGAGGCAACTGTTGGAAGGTTAAATAAAAATGATTTTTAAGACCGGCTGAATCAAATCGTATTACTGTATTTTTTGGACTGTACTACTGCAACTCTTACTTATTATTATTGCCCCCTTCTTAGTGGCTTGTGGCTGAGGATGTGGGTCGTGGAACAAAAACTAAAATAAAGCAGCCAATTAAGGAGAAGCTGGTAAGAGGAGAAGAGAGGGAGAAAGACGAATGGGTGTATAGCGTGATAGAACTCCTAGCCACCCTCAGGCGATCTAGGCCTTACTCAGTCTTATAACGCTCCTCTAACTGATTTCTTAGAGATCGGTAGCCATCTTATTTTCATAAATAAGCGGATTATTCCATTATTTCAGAAATCCGCAAATGATATATATTTCTTATTATATTTAGTATGCGAAGGCTGTAAATAAACTCCAATAAATCCCATCAAATTATCTTTACTCTTATTCGCAAACCTGTGACTTCCTGTCCTACAGTATCCTTTAACAATACCACACTTATCCCTGTTGAAGAAATTCGATACATAGGACTCCAACTGGACAAATTACTCACCTTGGAACCCTCACAATAGACTGAAACGACTAGAAACCGCCTGATATTTTCGACTACTGCAGCACTTCCTAGGGAAACGCTCTTAACACCAAGTATTTACAAAAGCCTCATATATATATATTACTGTAATAAGGCCTATTCGGACTTACGGGATCGAGCGTTAGGGATCTACTAAACCATCAAATTCCTCTCATATCCAATCCTCACAATCCAAAATCCTTCGAAAAATCCTCAATGCTCCCTACTTTGTCACAAATAATAAATCCGTAACAACATTAATGTATTACTATATGTTTCTGATATAGCTCAATCCAGGTACCTATTCTTCCATAATAAACTTCTGTACCATCCGAACCCTCTCGTTTCCAACATTACTTCCTCTTCTATTCACGATAACCCTCCGAGGCGTCTGAAAAGAATATAGTCTTGGAACCTTCAAATGTAGAAATACAAATGGAGTGCTACGTATGGCTAGTTTCTCTGCTACTGTGCATGTCATGTTACTTATTTCATATTTTCTTGTTGTATTTATCATTTAATATAGTAGTAAATTTCAATAATAA